AGGGGGGGGGGGGGGGGGGTGGTATATTGTGTCACCTACCGCACATTTCAGAACAGAGGGGGTATGTGTTTGCCGCGCCGGCCCTGGTCACACAGGGAGGAAATTAATTTTCCCGTTTTTTCTTCCTGGGCGCTGTTTCGAACCACACGTACGTATGTACGCACACACAACCCTAACCCTCACACCGGTTTAGGGTAGGAAAATAAGTCTTGCGTAAAAGATTGATTTAAGGGGGCTTTACCGCCGAAACGGGAGGCTGGTGTTTTTTTTCCCAGTGGTGGGTACCGCACACATGAACCCCAACAAGGCGCACGCAGACCCCGCCCCCCCCCCCCCGCCTATTGGCGCAAAAGGTAAAGAGGTGTTCATTTCACATTCTAGTTTAACAAAGAAACTGACCAATCAGTGAGGGAGGGAGGGTAGTACTGCTGGTCGAAGATGTCCATGTGCAGCCGATGCGTGAAGTCGTGCACCAGGATGTTCTTGTTCAAAGACTCCGGGCCGACCACGCCGTACGGGGGTCCCATCGCCTGCAGAAAAGTGTGGGGAGGGGAGCGGACGGGGGAGCGGAGTTCACCAGTGCTGTGAAATAGACGGGTTTCTATTTTCAAGACAGAGATATGCACATACTACTGGGGTGTGACGACATGGTTTGTCGTACCCTCTGTGACCCATCCCAAAAACAGTTTTTTTCCTTGAAGGGCACGGGAGACATGGCGCAGTACTGGTTAGAGGTCATCATGCTGATGAAGGTGGAGGCAATAACGCCAGCAGTGGCGGCACAGCAGCAGCAACAACAACAATAACACAAGCAGCAACGATATCAAACCATGTTCCCGCGCGTGTGCGAAGAACGTAACACCGCAAACGAATCTCTGCCAGCGATGCACACGCTACCACTAATCAGGCTCTTCTCCATCTCCCGACATGCGTCTTCTTTGCTTGCCGTCTACCTGCACCCCACAATCCTCCTATCCTTTTGCACCTGATTCTTTCTCTCACACAGCACATACAATGATTTTTTATAATTTGCACTTGTGCAGTTTCTAGTGCAGCTTCTCCTTATTACACGTATCTTTATCTGCATTTCTCTGTTTTTTATGTCTATCTCTACTCTTGTGTGTGTCCCTGCAAGAGACGAAGAGACACCCACATCTGAGCCAGCTGCGAAAAAAAAAAAAAAAAGGAGCCAGCCGGAGACAGGAAGCCAGCCGCATAAACGAAAAATTCGCACCTCCTACTCTTCTGCATTCTGCGGGGCTCCATGCGCACGAAAGAAGCGGAGTCTTTACACCGAGAAGCGTCCTAAACTTGGTGTCTTACACATAGCGGGGGTTGGACGACTGGTGCTGCAGCCTTCAGATAGGCAGTGCGGCTACCCGACTTCGACAATGTTTGAGCCGCGGTACACATCCAGATCGACGCCTTACAACGACAATAGTTAGAGCTGTTGTGCGCATACGGGACGACGCCCCTCGTGTGCCACACCTACCTCGATAGCGTTCACGAAGGACCGAGCCCAAGGGGTGTGCATCTCCGAGTCGTCGTTTACGCGATAGATGTAGTTCGCACCACGATCGTACGCCGCCTGAAGACCGAAAAAAACAACAAGAACAAGGGCAGTCGGTTGGATGAGGTGTCGCACGTACATAGGTGCCTGCACGACTGATGATGGAGATATCTACACACACACACACACGGGGACGGGAGGGGAGGGGGGGGGGTTGCACGTATGGCCGTGATTTTTTTTCACACGAGGGGGGTTATGAGAAGACGTGAGGCGGGCACGGAGGAGAGAAGCTTGGCTTGACTTTGCTTTTAGGGCGAGTTTCAACAGTGAGGTGAGGAAGGCGTTCCCCGGAAATCTGACGATTCGCCTGGACGCAAGCGAATCGAACAACAACGAGCAGATCATCCGATAATTCTCTACCCTGCAAACCGGTCGAACCGCGCCGGGAGTGCGCAGCACGCACGCATGTACAGCCAAAAGAAAAGGGTCACGATGGCTCTTACGCAACAGCCCTCGACACGCCGCGTTCAAGAAAGATCATGACGTCAGGTTTTTTAAGACGGAAAGACGATTTCGATCCATCGAAGGACTCGGGGGCACCGCAGGGTGGACTACGGTATGCCATGGTACCACACAACATACCACACCCGGCGGCATTATTACCACGGGTAAACGCAACAACACTGAGAAAGCAATTACGTTCAATACGACATAAGGC